CGTTGTATTGGTGTAATACACTACCTATAGTTACCGTGAAGTAGATAACAGTAGGGAGCTGACAGGTGTGCTATTATAAACGATGAAGTTATTTAGCCCCGGAGGTTAACGAGAAGTAAGGTACCTGCAACACGTAATGACGGCAATACTGGGACTAGTAAACATATGACAGTGTTTGCCATTATAGTGTCGTTAAAACAAGAACTAGAAAAAATCTGATGTGTCGAGAACCAAATCGATAAACATTTGTTGAAAAATGAACAAATTAAGATATGCATGAACCCAATGGGAAAAAAAACAATATCAGTTGTTCTAGACAGACAAGCGTCTGTTTCTTTGACGACACTCTCTATGTAAATCTTGATAACATCCAGGTAACATCCAGGTAACGTCCCTAAAGTGAGAGGTAGCAAACAGCAAAGTACAGTAGCTTTATCAGATATAGCAAACAGCAAAGTACAATAGCTTTATCAGATATATCAAACAGCAAAGTACAATAGCTTTATCAGATATAGCAAACAGCAAAGTACAGTAGCTTTATCAGATATAGCAAACAGCAAAGTATAGTAGCTTTATCAGATATATCAAACAGCAAAGTACAGTAGCTTTATCAGATATATCAAACAGCAAAGTACAATAGCTTTATCAGATAAATCAAACAGCAAAGTACAATAGCTTTATCAGATATAGCAAACAGCAAAGTACAATAGCTTTATCAGATAAATCAAACAGCAAAGTACCATAGCTTTATCAGATATATCAAACAGCAAAGTACAATAGCTTTATCAGATATAGCAAACAGCAAAGTACAATAGCTTTATCAGATATATCAAACAGCAAAGTACAGTAGCTGTATCAGATATATCAAACAGGAAAGTACAATAGCTTTATCAGATAAATCAAACAGCAAAGTACAATAGCTTTATCAGATATATCCATCCTCTTTTGTAAGATTATCCCTCAGCGGTCCACATCTTTTCCAGAAATCATGATAGATGGAAAATGCTCTTGAAAAATGAATCAACTGCAACATTGAAAAACATCGTGGGTTGGGGAAGAAGGTTTTTTTCCATCACTCACGAAGAGGAAAGCTCAAAACCAGAAATTCTAAATCGTTAAAAGCGGTTGATGTAGAAGGGGAGCATTGATATTAAGTACAGTAGTGATTTTACGATCGCCGAAATCAATTAAGTTCCGGATATTTAGACAGCACATCGTCAAAATGAAACAAAAGATAGGTTTGTGTTTCTAGTACTGATAACCTCTTCAATCAATTCAGACTCATGTCAAATAAAATAAAAAGATATAGAAGGGCAGCAGAGGGGCGCAGCGTGTTGTCATCTGCTGAAAATTCTTACCACCAAACACAAATGAGATATTGTCTAACAAAAACTTATCACAAATTTATCCTCATTTTATTCCATATATACGCTCCAAAATAGTTAAAGCCAAATAAGTATTGAATCAGGATTGAGCATATCCAATGTCCATGTAAGTATGAATTAACGGGGATTTTCCTTGCACACCACATGAGTGGCCGTAGCAACATTAAATTTGGAAAAAAGAAAGAGGACGATAGTGTTCCTTTAGGCCAGACAAAATAATGTACGTACTTGATTCCTGTAATATGTTGAATAGGAAGGTAACAAAATAAATTTAAAAAAAAAAAGAAAGGTTTATATAGTGCTCATGACTTTAACAGTGCCTCTTTGAAAATTGCCATAAAACGTTAAGGGTAGGCACAAAAAACCAGGGTAGGTGGGGTTACCGGTAACGTTAAGGGTTGGCACAAAAAACCAGGGTAGGTGGGGTTTCTGGAAACGTTAAGGGTAGGCACAAAAAAACCAGGGAAGGTGGGGTTACCGGAAAGGTTAAGGGTAGGCACAAAAAAACAGGGTAGGTGGGGTTACCGGAACCGTTAAGGGTAGGTACAAAAACCAGGGTAGGTGGGGGTACCGGAAACGTTAAGGGTAGGTACAAACACCAGGGTAGGTGGGGTTACCGGACACGTTAAGGGTAGGTACAAAAAACCAGGGTAGGTGGGGTTATCGGAAACGTTAAGGGTAGGTACAAAAACCAGGGTAGGGGGGGTTACCGGAAACGTTAAGGGTAGACACAAAAAACCAGGGTTGGTGGGGGTACCGGAAACGTTAAGGGTAGGTACAAAAGACCAGGGTAGGTGGGGTTACCGGAAACCTTAAGGGTAGGCACAAAAAACCAGGGTTGGTGGGGTTACTGGAAACGTTAAGGGTAGGTACAAAAAACCAGGGTAGGTGGGGTTCCCGGAAACGTTAAGGGTAGGCACAAAAGCCAGGGTAGGTGGGGTTACCGGAAACGTAAAGGGTAGGTACAAAAAACCAGGGTAGGTGGGGTTACCGGAAACCTTAAGGGTAGGCACAAAAAACCAGGGTAGGTTGGGTTCACGGAAACGTTAAGGGAAGGCACAAAAAAAACAGGGTAGGTGGGGTTACCGGAAACGTTAAGGGAAGGCACAAAAAAAACAGGGTAGGTGGGGTTACCGGAAACGTAAAGGGTAGGTACAAAAAACCAGGGTAGGTGGGGTTCCCGGAAACGTTAAGGGTAGGCACAAAAAAACCAGGGTAGGTGGGGTTACCGGAAAGGTTAAGGCTAGGCACAACAAACCAGGGTAGGTGGGGTTACCGGAAACCTTAAGGGTAGGCACAAAAAACCAGGGTAGGTGGGGTTCCCGGAAACGTTAAGGGTAGGCACAAAAGCCAGGGTAGGTGGGGTTACCGGAAACGCTAAGGGTAGGTACAAAAAACCAGGGTAGGTGGGGTTCCCGGAAACGTTAAGGGTAGGCACAAAAACCAAGGTAGGTGGGGTTACCGGAAACGTTAAGGGGAGGCACAAAAAAACAGGGTAGGGGGGGTTACCGGAAACGTTAAGGGTAGGTAAAAAAACCCAGGGTAGGGGGGGTTACCGGAAACGTTAAGGGTAGACACAAAAAACCAGGGTTGGTGGGGCTACCGGAAACGTTAAGGGTAGGTACAAAAAACCAGGGTAGGTGGGGTTATCGGAAACGTTAAGGGTAGGTACAAAAAACCAGGGTAGGTGGGGTTATCGGAAACGTTAAGGGTAGGTACAAAAAACCAGGGTAGGTGGGGTTTCTGGAAACGTTAAGGGTAGGCACAAAAAAACCAGGGTAGGTGGGGTTACCGGTAACGTTAAGGGTTGGCACAAAAAACCAGGGTAGGTGGGGTTTCTGGAAACGTTAAGGGTAGGCACAAAAGCCAGGGTAGGTGGGGTTACCGGAAACGTAAAGGGTAGGCACAAAAACCAGGGTAGGTGGGGTTACCGAAAACATTAAGGGTAGGTACAAAAACCAGGGTAGGTGGGGGTACCGGAAACGTTAAGGGTAGGTACAAACACCAGGGTAGGTGGGGTTCCCGGAAACGTTAAGGGTAGGCACAAAAACCAGGGTAGGTGGGGTTACCGAAAACATTAAGGGTAGGTACAAAAACCAGGGTAGGTGGGGGTACCGGAAACGTTAAGGGTAGGTACAAACACCAGGGTAGGTGGGGTTCCCGGAAACGTTAAGGGTAGGCACAAAAACCAGGGTAGGTGGGGTTACCGAAAACATTAAGGGTAGGTACAAAAACCAGGGTAGGTGGGGTTACCGAAAACATTAAGGGTAGGTACAAAAACCAGGGTAGGTGGGGTTACCGGAAACGTTAAGGGAAGGCACAAAAAAAACAGGGTAGGTGGGGTTACCGGAAACGTTAAGGGTAGACACAAAAAACCAGGGTTGGTGGGGTTACCGGAAACGTTAAGGGTAGGTACAAAAACCAGGGTAGGTGGGGTTACCGGAAACGTTAAGGGTAGGCACAAAAAACCAGGGTAGGTGGGGTTACCGGAAACGTTAAGGGTAGACACAAAAAAACAGGGTAGGTGGGTTATTCAGAAGTTGTTTTAAGTTTTTAACATATTTGACCCCTGTGACCTTGAATATGGGTGAAGGTCATTCATTTGAACAAACTTTGTAGCCCTTCATCTCAGCATGCTACTTGCCAAATATCATCACCCTGTGCATTTTGGTTATTCAGAAGAAGTTGTTTAATGTTTTTCACATATTTGACCCCTGTGACCTTGAATATAGGTGAAGGTCATTCATTTGAACAAACTTGATAGCCCTTTACCCAAGCATGCTACTGGTCAAATATCATAACCCTGTGCATTTTGGTTATTCAGAAGAAGTTGTTTAATGTTTTTAACATATTTGACCCCTGTGACCTTGAATATAGGTGAAGGTCATTNCACCCTGGGCATTTTGGTTATTCAGAAGAAGTTGTTTAAAGGTTTTTTAAGACAATTGACCCCTGTGACCTTGAATATAATTGAAGGTCATTTATTTGAGCAAACTTGGTAGCCCTTCACCCAAGCATGCTACTGGCCAAATATCATCTCCCTGGGCAGTTTGGTTATCGAGAAGATGTTTAAAGTTTTTCACATATTTGACCCCTGTGACCTTGAAAATGGCTGAAGGTCATTAATTGTTAACAAACTTTGTAGCCCTTCATCCGAGTTTGCTTCTGGCCAAATATCATCACCCTAAGCCTTTTGGTTATTAAGAAGAAATCGTTTAAAGTAAAATATTGACGCCGGACGACGAACGACAGACGACGGACGACGGACGACGGACGGACGGACGACGGACGCAGCACCACGGCATAAGCTCACTTGGCACTTCGTGCCAGGTGAGCTAAAAAAACCAGGGTAGGTTTGTGTTTGGCCTTAGAATGGTATGATTTGTGGTTGTGAAGAGAGTAGAAAATGTTCTTATTGACGAAACGTTTTGACGAGAACATGCTCAATTTGATCAGAAAGAGTTCTCCGAAATCGACATTTCATTAATTCTACTTCTGGAGTTTACAATACAATAGAGCGACAATAACACTGATAAAATGGTACTAAGAAGGGAGGTAACTCGTTTATAAGCTGGCTTTGTTAAGCAGCTATAAGTAGAACCCCCTCCCCTTTACCTGACAGGTACGTAGTCTTTGTAGTTTCTCCTTCTGCGTTCCGCCTCTGGAATGGCATGCCACGTGAAAGTTAACGACCAATCAAATCCGCCGACTTGAGTGGAAGAAGCCGGCGAAAATTTAAATTGAAACGTGTCATCATCAATGGTATCGATGACAGGCGTCACAGAAGTGGTCGGGTTGTCTTTTATCCTATCCAGCAGAGGCTCCAGCCAACCTGTAATATACACAAAGGTTTGATTCCGGTATATAGCGTATAATTCCATAATAGTCTTGGACATTCCTTTATTACATCGTAACACCTACCGGTAGCACATTCAATGTGTGAGTCGAGGAAGATTAAAACACTGCCAGTAGCCACACTGTATCCTAGAAGTCGAGTTCTAATCAGACCCTCGCGTTTCTTGTTTCGTACAATTTTAACCTTAGGTAAGTCTTTCATATATTCTTCCAGAGGACCATGTAAATGCTCTGAAATATTAATATAACTAATTAATGTACAATGTATACATAAGTATGAAATATTAATAGAACTAATTAATGTACAATGTATACATAAGTATGAAATATAAATATAACTGATTAATGTGCAATGTATACATAAGTATGAAATATAAATATAACTGATTAATGTGCAATGTATACATAAGTATGAAATATTAATAGAACTAATTAATGTATAATGTATACATAAGTATGAAATATAAATATAACTAATTAATGTACAATGTATACATAAGTATCGATTGAAAGTTGACCGTTTGTAATTAAGAACAAACAGGCTACAAACGACGACAAAAATGAATTGATTTTTGAATTTTTATATAACAGCTGTCTAAACTTGATTAGTGCAGAAATTCTTACGTTTATGAACATTTCTTAAAATGGAGGAGCAAATATAGTACTATTGATATACATTAAAGTTCGGTGAAATCACTTTCTGAAAGGTACCAACCAAAGATAATTTTCTTTTGCCAAAACACCAGTTCATATAGCGCAAACTTTACCGGTGTTTAAGGGGTTATCAATTACATATTATGTAACTATTTTGGAATGTAGAGTATAACGTGATTCAAGAAATCAAATGAGAGGGCAGATACTTAATTAAGTCCCTCGGAGCAGATTAGTATAAACAGTATTTTATTCAATATATGGCAGTGACAAAATAATACAAAAATGAACAAAGAGGTTTCGAAAACAAGTACATAAGTACTTATATCAATTCTTCTCCTTATTAATAAACCTGGCAGTAGGACGGCACTGTTACATATATTTTGATAGTATAACAGACAAAGAGAAGAAGAAGAAATCAGGGAGGGAAGGCGGAAGGGGTGCATCAGGAAATGAAAGAAAGTGGTTACGAAGAGAATAACAAGAAGAACTGCATTACTTGATAGAATCTGGTTGGAATGTGATTCATGAAAAGGTAACCCTAATGAGCTCTATATAAGGATGCATTAAATACATTGGAAATCTCTAAATTGCCTTACGTTGATTCCAATCAAAAAATATACAGATATCCTGTAAAATGCAAGAGTGTTGTAGTCTATATTAAATAGACGGAGGAAATTATAGTGATTCCACCTAGAAAAGGTTTTCCGATTCTATATTAGTCACCGATAATCTGGTCTAATAAACAAAGTTTACAACAATACTATCCTATTAACTCTAGCATTAAGTGTCCCAGCAGGCCGTTGATGGGTTTCTGTGTGAAATATTGAGACCGGCATGTAAATTTAAGTAATGTAAATTCTGTTGATCGCTTTGGTATTCACCTCTGTCAGAAAAATCGTCGGAAAGTATAATTTCTTTGATGAGGTGTTCTGGTGACCTATCTAAGATACTGTGTACACTGCGGAGTAATACACTCCAGGCCTCGTTATGGAATGTGATGATTACACTGGCTTCCGGAAGATCGTCAGCATACTGAAGCAGTCTGCACCTAAATTAGAAGAAAAAAATATAAGACAGAAGAATAAAAATGAAACAATACGTAATATCACCCCATCCCCTTAAAATATGTAATATAAACGGGTCATCTAAATATATATCTATATTTGTTCAAAAGAAGGACATGCAAAGTAATCTGACGTGTGTGATAACCAATAAATTGAGTTAAATGTATCTCTAAATGAAGAAAGTTAATGAAAATTACATGTACGTATATGTATAGTAATAAGAAAGTTGAACCGAATTGCACTGCAGTCCAGTAAAAGGATCCGTGCTAGGAAGTAATGTATAGTAGAGGTAATTATAGTAGAAGTAATTATAGTAGAAGTAATTATAGTAGAAGTAATGTATGGTAGAAATAATGAAAGTAGAAGTATTGTATAGTACAAGTAATGTATAGTAGAGGTAATGTATAGAAGAAGTAATGTATAACAGAAGTAATGTATGGTAGAAGTAATGTAGAAGTAATGTATAGTGGAGGTAATGTATAGTAGAGGTAATGTATGACAGAGGTAATGTAAAGAAGAAGTAATATATAGAAGAAGTAATTTATAGTAGAAGTTATTTATGGTAGAGGTTATGTAAAGTAAAAGTTATTTATTGTAGAGGTATTGTATAGTAGAAATAATGTAGTAATGTATGTTAGAGGTAATATATAGTAGAAGTAATGAAGTAATGTATGGTAGAAGTAATGTATAGTAAAAGTAATGTAGTAATGTATGGTAGAAGTAATGTATAGTAGAAGTAATGTAGTAATGTATGGTAGAGGTAATGTATAGTAAAAGTAATGTAGTAATGTATGGAAGAGGTAATGTATAGTTAAGTTAATTAATGGTAAAACTAATGTATAGTAGAAGTAATGTAGCAATGTATGGTAGAAGTAATGTATAGTAAAAGTAATGTAGTAATGTATGGAGGAGGTAATGTATAGTAGAAGTAATGTAGTTATGTAGGGTAGAAGTAATGTATAGTAGAAGTAATGTATAGTAGAAGTAATGTATAGTAGAAGTAATGTATAGTAGAAGTAATGAAGTAATGTATGGTAGAGGTAATGTATGGTAGAAGTAATGTAGTCATTTATAGAAGAAGTAATGTAGTAATGTATAGTAGAAGTAATGTATAGTAGAAGCAATGTATAGAAGAAGTATTTTATAGTAGAGGTAGTGTATCGTAAAGTTAATGAATGTTAAAACTAATGTTTAGTAGAAGTAATGTATAGTAGAAATTATTTATGGTAGAGGTAATGTATAGTAGAAGTAATGTAGTAATGTATGGTAGAGGTTATGTATAGTAGAAGTAATGTATGGTAGAAGTAATGTATAGTAGTGGTAATGTAGTAATGTATGGTAGAAGTAATGTATAGTAGAAGTAATGTAGCAACGTATGGTAGAAGTAATGAATAGTAGAAGTAATGTATTAATGTATTGAAGAAGTAATGTAGTAATGTAAGGAAGAAGTAATGTAGTAATGTGTAGTAGAAGTAATTGTATAGAAGAAGTAATGTAGTAATGTATGATAGAGGTTATGTATAGTAGAAGTAAGGTATAGTAGAAGTAATGCAGTAATGTATGGTAGAGGTAATGTATAGTAGAGGTAATGTAGTAATGTATTGTAGAAGTAATGTAAAGTATAAGTAATGTATAGAAGAAGTATTTTATAGTAGAGGTAGTGTATCGTAAAGTTAATGAATGTTAAAACTAATGTTTAGTAGAAGTAATGTATAGGATAAGTAATGTATAGAAGAGGTATTTTATAGTAGAGGTAGTGTATCGTAAAGTTAATGAATGTTAAAACTAATGTTTAGTAGAAGTAATGTAGCAACGTATGGTAGAAGTAATGAATAGTAGAAGTAATGTATGGTAGAGGTTATGTATAGTAGAAGTAATGTAGTAACGTATGGTAGAAGTAATGAATAGTAGAAGTAATGTATTAATGTATTGAAGAAGTAATGTAGTAATGTGTGGTAGAAGTAATGTATATAATGTGTAGTAGAAGTAATTGTATAGAAGAAGTAATGTAGTAATGTCTAGTAGAAGTAATGTATTAATGTATTGAAGAAGTAATGTAGTAATGTATGATAGAGGTTATGTATAGTAGAAGTAAGGTATAGTAGAAGTAATGTATAGTTGAAGTAATGTAGTTATGTATGGAGGAAGTAATGAAGTAATGTATAGAAGAGGTATTTTATAGTAGAGGTAATGTATAGTAGAGGTAATGTATGGTAGAAGGAATGTATAGAAGAAGTATTTTATAGTAGAGGTAATGTATCATAAAGTTACTGAATGGTACAACTAATGTTTAGTAGAAGTAATGTAGTAATGTATAGTAGAAGTAATGTAGTTATGTATGGAAGAAGTAATGAAGTAATGTATAGAAGAAGTAATGTAGTAATGTATTGTAGAAGTAATGTATAGTATAAGTAATGTATAGAAGAGGTATTTTATAGTAGAGGTAATGTATCATAAAGTTAATGAATGGTACAACTAATGTTTAGTAGAAGTAATGTAGTAATGTATGGAAGAAGTAATGTAGTAATGTCTAGTAGAAGTAATGTATAGTAGAAGTAATGTAGTAATGTATGGTAGAAGTAATGTATAGCAGAAGTAATGTATTGTAGAAGTAATGTAGCAATGTATTGTAGAAAAATGAAGTAATGTATAGTAGAAATAATGTATGGAAGAAGTAATGTAGTAATGTATAGTAGAAGTAATGTATAGTAGATGTAATGTATATTAGAAATAATGTATAGTAAAAGTAATTTAGTAATGTATGGTAGAAGTAATGTATAGAGTATAAGTAATGTATAGTAGAAGTAATGTAGTAATGTATTGTAGAAAAGTGAAGTAATGTATAGTAGAAATAATGTATAGCAGAAGTAATGTATAGTAGAGGAAATGTATGGTAGAAGTAATGTATAGTAGTAGTAATGTGTAGTAGAAGTAATGTAGTAATGTATTGAAGAAGTAATGTAGTAATGTATAGAAGACGTAATGTAGTAATGTATAGTAGAAGTAATGTATAGTAGAAATAATGTAGTAATGTATGGAAGAAGTAATGTAGTAATGTATGGTAGAAGTAATGTAGTAATGTCTAGTAGAAGTAATGTATAGTAGAAGTAATGTATAGTAGATGTAATGTATATTAGAAATAATGTATAGTAAAAGTAATTTAGTAATGTATGGGAGAAGTAATGTATATAGTATAAGTAATGTATAGTAGAAGTAATGTAGTAATGTATGGTAGAAGTAATGTAGTAATGTATGGTAGAGGTAATGTATAGTAGAAGTAATGTATAGTAGATGTAATGTATAGTAGAAGTAATGTAGTAATGTATGGTAGAGGTAATGTATAGTAGAGGTAATCTATAGTAGAAGGAATGTATAGTAGAAGTAATGTATAGTAGAGGTGAAGTATAGTAGAGGTAATGTATAGTAGAAGTAATGTATAGTAGCTGTAATGTATATTAGAAATAATGTATAGTAAAAGTAATTTAGTAATGTATGGGAGAAGTAATGTATATAGTATAAGTAATGTATAGTAGAAGTAATGTAGTAATGTATGGTAGAGGTAATGTATAGTAGAGGTAATCTATAGTAGAAGGAATGTATAGTAGAAGTAATGTATAGTAGAGGTGAAGTATAGTAGAGGTAATGTATAGTAGAAGTAATGTAGTAATGTATGGTAGAGGTAATGTATAGTAGAGGTAATGTATAGTAGAAGTAATGTAGTAATGTATTGTAGAAAAATGAAGTAATGTATAGTAGAAATAATGTATAGCAGAAGTAATGTATAGTAGAGGTAATGTATGGTAGAAGTAATGTATAGTAGTAGTAATGTGTAGTAGAAGTAATGTAGTAATGTATGGAAGAAGTAATGTAGTAATGTATAGAAGACGTAATGTAGTAATGTATAGTAGAAGTAATGTATAGTAAAAGTAATGTATAGTAGAGGTATTTTATAGTAGAGGTAATGTATAGAAAAGGTATTTTAAAGTAGAAGTAATGTATAGAAGAGGTATTTTATAGTAGAAGTAATGTATAGTAGAGGTAATGTATAGTAGAAGTAATGTATAGTAGATGTAATGTATAATAGAAATAATGTATAGTAGAAGTAATTTAGTAATGTATGGTAGAAGTAATGTATAGTAGAAGTAATGTAGTAACGTATGGTAGAAGTAATGTATAGTAGAAGAAATGTAGTAATGTATGGGAGAGGTAATGTATAGTAGAAGCAATGTATAGTAGAGGTAATGTATAGTAGAAGTAATGTAGTAATGTATGTAAGAAGCAATGTAGTAATGTATGGTAGAGGTAATGTATAGTAGAAGTAATGTAGTAATGTTTGGAAGAAGCAATGTAGTAATGTATGGTAGAGGTAATTGGTAATGTAGTAATGTATGGTAGAAGTAATGTAGTAATGTATGGGAGAGGTAATGTATAGTATAAGTAATGTAGTAATGTATGGTAGAGGTAATGTATAGTAGAAGTAATGTAGTAACGTATGGAAGAAGTAATGTATAGTAGAAGAAATGTAGTAATGTATGGAAAAGGTAATATGTATATAGTATAAGTAATGTCTAGTAGAAGTAATGTATAGTAGAAGTAATGTATAGTAGTATGGAAGAAGCAATGTAGTAATGTATGGTAGAGGTAATTGGTAATGTAGTAATGTATGGTAGAAGTAATGTATAGTAGAAGGAATGTAGTAATGTATGGTAGAAGTAATGTATAGTAGAAGGAATGTAGTAATGTATGGTAGAAGTAATGTATAGTAGAAGTAATGCAGTAATGTATGGTAGAAGTAATGTATAGTAGAAGGAATGTAGTAATGTATGGTAGAAGTAATGTATAGTAGAAGGAATGTAGTAATGTATGGTAGAAGTAATGTATAGTAGAAGTAATGCAGTAATGTATGGTAGAAGTAATGTATAGTAGAAGTAATGCAGTAATGTATGGTAGAAGTAATGTATAGTAGAAGTAATGTAGTTATGTA